TACATAACAAGTATCAGCCATTAATGTTATTAGGAAAGAGCCAGCAGGAAACCAGCCAGCTTAAGGAAGTAGAAGATGGGCAGTGCAAACTGAGGGCATAGGAACAGGTGTCTGCAGAGTGAGTTCCTTTATAAGTTTTTCAGTAAGGGTGAATAAACAAATAATCACATAAATCTGTGTCAGTAGAGAAGATGTGACTAATGTGGTATGCAGAAGCCCTATCCTGAAGGTCTTGTGTGCTAAGCTAGAGAGTGTGAACTCTGCTCAGAAAGTTTGGGAAGTGACTGATGAGTTTTAAGTGACTCCCCAGAGTCAGATTTGTCATCTAACAAGGCACAGTCATGTTTGGAGAGGAAAAAGATGACAGTTGGAGAGAAAAGTTCAGGAGGCTATCGCAGTGCCAGAGGAAAGATGCTGCATGCCATTCAAATGACTTTGAGTCAGTTAGAGTCTGTCCGATCTTTGATGAGAGATGTCCATCATCTGCCACCATGGCCATTTATATGTCCACCACATTTGTGGATTTAAATATGAGTGTGATGCTATCTTTCTTCCTAAAAAGTTCATGGGCTTAATACTTTTTGGGGGTGCTAGAAGTTTTCTTGCTGATGAATGACTCCTAGAAGTAACTCAGGCCCTTTGGGTGAGATGAGAAGGTGCAGACCTCCAGGACAGCTGATGGGAAATGACTCTCCAGGCTACCCACCCCTGCCCTTGGAGATCAGGCACTCATGGATTGCTTGGCTGTTTGCTCCCTAAGATATAATTGAGCCCTTTTCTCTCTCCTCCTGCCTCCCCTCCATCACACCATGCATATGACAGTTGACATTCTCTTTGGGATAATACAAAGATGATGATTCAACTATCCTGGAAAGTGTGAAAGAGTTTGATTTAGATTGGAAAGCAGCAGGGTTGTGTCTTAGACCAGGGATTTTTAAAGTTCTTATTTGTCAGGGGATCTTTTGTCAAAAAGAAATCTTATACAATAGTCCATAAGCAAAACAGATCCAGGTGGGTCTGCCCCTGACCAAGTGGGGTGGAAAGGTCCAATATTCCTGTTGTCCTGGCTCCTTGTCTCTGTGCCACCTGATAGAATCAGAGGAATGTGAGGACTTCTCTGAGTCCAGTTCGAACGTTGGAGACAGATGGTCCAATAAAGCTCAGTGGGTCAGATGCTGCTGACAAGCAGGAGAGTGAACATTTTCTCCCACAGGCATCTTGAGTCACCTTCTGTACCTCATGACTGAATTGTGGTCAAGTGAGTCCCAGGCGACTGAAGGCAGAGACCCTGTCTCATTCATCTCTGATTAGCTCCCTGGTGCCCAGCACGAGTTAGCTGAATGAATAAAAGGCTTGTGATTTATTTAGTGACTTTTTTGAGAGTACTAATTGTGCCTTATGGTCTGAAATGGTTAATTTGCCCAAAGTGAACAGTTGGCTCTCTTTATTTGCTGAAACCTGGCTCCATGTGGCTAGCTCTTCATTGCAGTGAGACACTGGGAACTTTAGGGAAGCTATAGAAAGGCTAGGCACACTTTGAGCAGCCCATGAGATGTCCTGCAAGGAGCTGGTGGCCACATAATGCCAATTTTGTAAAATTCACCAACTTGCATATCAGTGAATCCTTTCACCTCATAACTTTCTATGTACTGAAGAGACCCTGGGACTTTGCTAAGCATTCCTCATCTATGACTTCATAGAATTATCATATAAGCTCTCAATGCAAGAGATATGATAATCCTCATCACCATTCTGCAAGTGAGGCTTCTGAGATGGAGCATTAGATAACTTGCCCAATGTCAGTCACTACGGCTCAGTGAGGTCAAGTAACTTTCTCAAGGTCACGGCTTCTGAGATGCAGAAATGGTTATTTTTATCCATACACAACACCGTTTACTACAGCACTACAGAGAGTAGAGGACAGAGCCATTCATTCCCTTGATATTTATGAAGTGTCTGCCATACACTAGTAGAGTAAGTATCTGCTGTCCTGTGTTCTAGGCCTCCAATGCTGAACTAAACACACAGATCTCTGCCCTCAGGGAGGCTATATTCCAGTACGCCCAACCTGTGTGAGTGCTGCCACCTTACAAAACCATCCACAGCCATTTTTGGCCCTGGTGATAGCTTACCTCCTTATGCCATGGAGCTCATGATATATGCACCATGTTTTCAGCCCCTAATAATTCTTTGCTTCTTTCAAAATAAAGATTAAAGAGGAAATGGTCAGACTAGTAGCAGACTACCATACCAGTTTCTTTTTCATTCTCTGGTGGCGAGGAAGATGCTGTTTACAAACTTATTTAACTCTTAAATGAAGATTGCAAAGCTGCCTCCTTTTATAGTAACATGGTAAGTGGCTTTGCTGTGTTCTTTATATTTTGGCAAGCATAAGGCTTACGACAAGCCTCCAGGAGGCAAGAAGCTGTGTCCTCTTCTTTGAACCCCCCTTAAAATTCCTTTTTTTTTTTTGAGACAATCTTGACGCCCAGGCTGGAGGGCAGTGAACAATCTCAGCTCACTGCAACCTTCGCCTCCCAGGTTCAAGCAATTCTCGTGCCTCAGCCACCTGAGTAGCTAGGATTACAGGTGCGCACCATCATACCCAGCCAATTTTTGTATTTTTTGTAAAGACAGGGTTTCACCATGTTGGCCAGACTGCTCTCAAACTCCTGAGCTCAAGTAATTTGTTCGCCTCAGCCTCCTGAAGTGCTGGGATTACAGTTGTGAACCACCATGCCCAGCCTCCCACTCAAAATTCTTGGTATATTTCAGAGCAAATCTCTAGTGCTTGGGATAATATTAATAATATAAATTATTTTACATGTTTTATTAAAATTAACGAAATTGACACTCTTTCCTGAATACTATGGGCTAGGTACTGCATCCAACACTCTACATCTATTATCTCATTTAATTCTCACCATGACCTGCTTGTTCTTCTTCTTACTTTCTTATTCCCATTTTACAAACAAGGAAAACAAGGCTCAAGGCCCCGCAATTTGAAACTGGATGCCTGGTGGACTGGAAATGCAGATGAACGGAACTTGGGAATGCATCTGTGCCACTCCTGGTCTTCCTTCTTACCCTTCCTTAAACAGACTTTATGACTGAGCAGGATGCTCTTTCCAGCCCTGAACCTTCCCTCCAGACGTCACTCCACTTCTCTGACAGAACTCGGGCGTAGGGGTCCTTTCGAAGAGTTCTTGCTGAAACCATCTTATGCAAACAACTATCAAACCTTTGGGTATGAGAGCTTAGGAACAGAAACCCGGAGCCAGTGGCAATATATAATGCATTGACATTATCTTAATTTCTTTGTGAGTATTTTCCATAAATTGTTTCCATCCTACTGTACATGAAGCTGTGATGAACTAACTCTGAGTAAGAGAAATGACAGGTTAACTTGCCTTTCATTTGTTTTCCATAATAAGTGGAATATTTCCTTGAACACTTGAAGTCATTAACATTTCAATTTATTCATGCTTTTTCTTTCTGGCATCCTAATGGCAATATTGCATAATTATCTGCTGTATAACCATCAACTTTGATGGCTCTTTGCACGCCCATAAGTGCCATTCTCACTGTCTCTGTTAGCCTGTTGGTTTGAGGAGGCAGTTTGCTTTTTTATGCCATTCTACTCACTTGCACACAGATTGTTAAACAGGGACATAGGGCCAGTGAATTAAGTGAGGCAGCAGTGGGTGAGGATCCCAGCTAACTTGCCTTGTGTTTACCATGTACTTACTGTGTGCTGTTCCAAGCATTTCACATGTATTAGCTTATTTAGTCTGCCTATAGCCCTTTGAGGCAGAGTCTGTTATTATCACATCTACTTCTATGGATGAGGAAGCTGAGACTCAGAGACACTAAGTGACTTGTTCAAGGTCTTACTAGGTGGGTAAGTGACCAGGCCAGGTTTTACACCTGTGCAGCCTAGCCCCAGCGTTTTTGACCCTGACCTGTAGTCCAAGTCCTGCTCTGTCTGTACCTCTCCTCCTCTGTGGCCTGACTCTTCCCTATCAGTTAGTATTATTGCTGTGTTAAATCTTTGGGTTAAAAAGAGAGAAGAGTGGCAAAATGGTAATCACATGATTACACGCTGTTTCTCGTCTTTGCTTTCAACCTCCAAATTTGCAGCTTTTGTCTAAATACTCATGGCCTTAAAGACATTCTAAGAAGAAATAAACAAATAAAACACCAGAAAGTATAAGTAAGCACACATTTTAAGGAGGAAGTTTAAAATGTCCCCCACCCCAGGTTTTGCCATTTGAAGATTGGGATTGAGGCCACGTGCAGGCCATCAGGCATTCCCAAAAACTAGGGTACTTTCTGGAACTTTCGGCCTCCCTATTTTAAATTACAGGTGAGTTTTCAAGCAGGCTTCCAAAAATCAGGCCCTGAATATTGCTGAGTGCATCTGTGGTATACCCTGAACTCTGCCTGAGCACATGCCAGGAGGAAAGTTAAGGTGGCAACAGGGACGTTGCACGTTCCCTTTAAAGCGTACCTCAGATTAATTATGCCAGTGCTTTTGGCCTCAGAAGTGTAAGCCCAGGCCACTGACGTGGCAAGGGAGGGAGGCTCAGAGGAATATTTTAATTTTAGAAAAAAGGCCTCACTGTCAAAGGAATTGCTCTCTTTAATTCATTAAAAAATTATCACATTCCTTTGAAATGAGAGTAAAACTAATATTTCTTAATGCTTGTTCATCATTAATATTATGCCAATTATTGCATTACTTTTGGCTGATAAATATTCAGAGGACAAATGAAGCCCACACGATGGATTTATTCTCCAGCAGTACAAACAAAAACCTTCAATATTTTATCTCACATAATTAAATGCTGTTTGTTGTTTCTAGAATGAGAACTTGGGACATGCTAATTAATTGCTTCAAGAAGACAGTTAGACATGTTTCATGGTTGATATTCAGAATCTGATATTTATAAACCCTGCACAACACAGCTGATGATTTACACTTGCAGAATAAATCCTACCTGCAGAAGTCTGGGGGCACCATGCCATAAACATTGATCCTGTCACAGAGCTCCAGTGCAATTGTCATTGTGAACCAGCCAGTGCTGAGCCAAGTGTTGGATATCTTCCTGGAAGGAACAATAATTAAGTCTGCAAGCTGGTAAAGTAACCATTATACCCACTACCATCTTTAATTCTTTCTGGAGTAAGGGTTACTATAAACAGAGTCTCCCCCTCTCTCCCTCCATTTGGTAAATATTTGGAACTTTACCAAATTGACATCTCTTGCTAATGTCACCATATTCTACAGTACAATCAGAATTGATGTTAATGCTCATGTTGAATTTGTGACAATAAAAGATGCTCAAGGGACTTCTGCATCATCAAAGATGATGATCAGTATTTCAATGTTTAAGTGTATGTTACCACAACTCAATTTCTTGTTACAGTCCCTGTTTAACAGCTCTTTCTTAAAGAGAACACTTGACTAGCTACAAATTCTCCTCATTCCCCAAACAGACTAGATAATAGGTAGCTTATTAAATATAAATAAACATGCATGTGCATTTATCTATCTATTAATCAATTGGTTGATTGAACTTAGGGTGAAAGCTTGCCTTCAAGTAGACTGACACCAACATCTTGATTGAATGTCTTTCCATAAGAGTACACTCCCTTGGGTATGTGCTACTGACCAGAGGAAAAGAGCCACAGGAATCCTTATATTTAACTGAATATTTGCTTTATTTTACATATCAGAGAATTTTTATTAGAAGACCAGAAATTGACAAAATTTAAGGAATGAACTGGTGCACTCCACCATTCATTAATTTTCCCATTCAGACATCGGTAATGAGCCTCTACCATATGCTATGTCTTAGGATAACTGTGGGGACATAACACTAAGGTCTAATTTGACCCTGCGAGAATGACTTGGCTTACCATGCTACACTGCTGTGGATATTAATTTCAATTCTTCGGGGGTTGCTGCTTTTACTTTTCCTTCAGTGCTTATGGCATGCCTCATTAGCCAGTTTCAAACACCTTATCCCCAAGGTCAGACTGTCTGACTTTGCCCAGCCGTAGCACCATTTGTGATGTGCATAACAGAGGTGCAGAAAGCCTTTTCTACTTGCACTGTGTAGCACCCATCCTTGAGAAGAAGGAAAACCTTCTGTCAATCAGTTTGTGTCATTATTTCCATTTCATATAAGGACCGAGAGAGAGAGAGAGAGAGAGAGAGAGAGAGAGAGAGAGAGAGAGGACATTTTTAAGGAATCCTTCATTTTGTCCAATACTTGACAGGCATGGGTGACTTGGTCATCTGTGAGGATCATGGCTTCAACTTTCTAATTTTTCTTAAGCACTTTGCTCATTCATTCCCCTATTCTATTATATTTTGACCTAGTAATAATCCCAGGAAGTATATTTAAAAGCTCCTAAAGATGGGAATAACATGGACTGAATCTTACCTGTTTCTATCATAACCAGCTGGATGACCTGAGGCAAGTTACTGTTGATCTCTGACCCTTCATTTCTTATCTATAAAGCAGGCATAGGAATCTCTGTCCCCTGGGCTAGTTGAGAGCCAAATAGCAAGCATGCATGAAAAGCACCAAGCTTGGTATGTTGACATATTGACAGCTCTTCCTCCTCTTTTAGTTGCTAGGTTGAGCAAACAAGGTAAATAATTTTACCATTCCTTTCGGTGCTTTTTAGCACCCATGAAGAAAATTCTTCCAACACTCTGCTACTGATGGCTGTATAGGGGCCACCATCAGTAGTCAGGGCAGGAATTATGACATTCAGAAGCCTTCGGCCTATATAGTTATTAACACTTTTCCTTCTTTCTCACTGAGGCTATATAGTCTTAAGACATTTGAGACTGAAGGAACTGGGATGGAGAAGAGCTGACTGAATGACAAAGAGTAAAAAGAGGAAGTGGCTTTTCTTAAGTTAGAGGCTGTTTTCACCTATGCGCCATGACAATGCATTGGCCACGTGTTCTAGACCTAACCTGGGTGAGTGAATAACTGGGAGGATGTGGAACCCAGGAAAAGGATGACAGCTCACTCACGGTTTCAGGAGACTGATCTGGGAATCACACGTATATTCCCTCTGCTTTCAGAGCGATTGGGCACACCAAAGGGGGATTTATCCGGGGGCAGAAGCTCTCCCATCACTCTGGTTCTGTTTTGTGTGATATAGTAGAGATCATAAGCCACAGCCTGAATACAGGAGGATATGACTGCACAGGAAAAGGCTTTGTGGGTAAAATGGGGAGAATGCAAGGTGGAGGACTGAAGAAACTAAAGTGAAGAGTTCTTTAAAGTGCCACTTAAAATTCCCCAGACTTCTAAATAACAGCCTTTTGGGGCCATGTGCTGTAGAAATGCAACACTTTGTGCTGTCTTTCTAAAATTCTTTGTTGAACTCTTTTTCTAACAAAGGAATATCTACTGTTTTTACACTTAATCAGCTATAATGAAAGAATATGAAGAGCTGTCATATGCTTATTAGGGAAAATTATCAGATATTCTTTTATATGATGAAGTAACACATTGAGCTGATAATTCTATAGTGCACACTAAATTACAATTAAGGGCCTTTCTGCTCCACCAGAATCTCATTTATAATCTCTACGGAAATATTCTTCCTGCAGTTATTTCATTTATGCTTCCTTTATCTAATTACTATAATATTGGTTCTGAATCATATTTTCTTAATGTACCCTTATTCAATTATAAAGTTATTTTCAAGTACAGTTACTTTTTAATATCAAAGAATACCACTTGGCCATCTATGTCATTTGTCATGCTTCTTAATTGCAGATTGTTCCTGAGCCATTTTTTCTCCACTTTTAAGGAGGGTGAAACTGCTATCAATCATAATCTATTAAATGATCCCATTTCTTCAAAATGTTAGCCCAAAACGAAAGTCCTGATCATGAAATCGCAAGTTAGATATTCTACATTTTATATATCATCAATATATGTGACTGTTTTGTTGGATTTCAAGAAAAGCATACATTGAGAAATATCGTTATACCCTAAATGTTTTATGTTTTAATTTACAGCAATAGTTTTGTACTGAAGGCCAATTTTTTTTTTGACTTGTTTCTTTCAGCTTGGAGTAGGCTACAAGTTAAGAGTATTAAGTTAATAGAGTATTGGCTTCTTTAAGACTGTTTCCCAAAGGCAAGAGGCACAAAGTGTCTGGAAGCGGCCATGTACTTTGGCATCCTCCATGTTCGTAAGTATGATTCCTCTGAGTAGGGGCTATGTGAACCCTGGCAGATGGATATCTGTGGAAAGAGGCCCAGCAGCCACTCCACAAAGCTTTGGCTCCATCCTTACCAGCCAGGACGACCAAGAAGAAAGACCTGGTGAGAAAAAGCTTCTCATTGGTCAGAATTTAGTGAATTTAGTGAGCAGGATATGCCTTCATGTGAGACAGGTTTCTAAAGATACTGAGTGGCCAAGGGGTCTGATGACTTAGTATCTAACTTATCAGCTTAAAAATGATTTCTTAAGGAGTCCAGAAAATTGTTCAATTATTCTTAGTAACTAACACTGCTGCAGTGTTTTAGGAATACTTATTTAGCAAACAGCCATTAAACTAAAAAGAGAGAAGTGTTTTCTGTTGAGACAGTTTCTACTTATTTCAAATTTTCCAATGAGTAAAAAATAAAAGTAAATAACTCCCCTCTTTCTTGATTCCTTTTAAAATCTTTTCTTGATTAAATAACACTTTCAAACGAGTGACAGACAGTCTCTCTTATTTGTGAGTTGCAAAGGGCCAATGCATGACTGGATTTTGTGGCAGGTGGCGATGATGATTGGAATTCTCAATGTGATCTGCTGGCTGGGTTACCCATGGGTTACCCTACCCACCCTGCTGGGGTGTCCAGGGAAGAAGGCCACGGTGCCAACAGCCAGCTCTTCCTCCTTCCTCCACCAGGCCCATGCCTCCTGTGTGGGCCAGCCCTGGACTAGTCACAAGGTTTTGAGGACTTAAAAGCTACTTAGCTCTTCCACACAAAGAATTTGGGGACACTGGACTTAAGTCTTTCTTTGAGACTACTCTCTAATAATGAGCTGCTAGCCAAAGAATGGATTTATTGCTTTATATTCTTTCCTGCACTTATCATATCATTTTATTTGAATTTTTTTATGAGATGGGGTCTTGCTATGTTGCTCACACTAAATTTGAACTCCTGGGCTGAAGCCATCCTCCTGCCTCAGCCTCCCGAGTAGCAGGGATTATAGGCATGCACCACTAAGTCTGGCTCCCCTTTAGTTTAAAGATAAGCAATTGACTCAGTAACAGTTTTTGTAAGAAGGGTAAATTACATCATAAATGCGTAACAGTACAGGTTTTAGAATTAAGGAAATGAGGCAATTTGATTATTAGACCTGTCCGTCCAGTGATTGGTAGTCACTATCCTCTTTTCACACATAAGGTCACCGAGTCTCTAAAAGGTTAGATAACTTGTCTAGGTTCACACAACTAGAGAGTGACAGAGCCAGAGTTCCAATTCAGAGCTGGATATTGGACTATACTATACTGTGGTCCTTGATGCTTCATAGTCCTTTCTCCACCTAGATTTGCCCAGCTCACATCCCTTCATTTCTCTTCTTCACCTTGTGTCACTCTCAGCCCCCAGTTCTCCTGATGGCAGCCACAGGGGGCTTTTCTCCAATCCCCTGCATGTTCTCTCACATCGGATTCCCTGGACCTCCACGGAAGTTTCTCCCTCCCGCTCCCAGGAGGGAGAAACTTTCTCCAAAACTTATTGCCCTGGGTCTCAGCTTATATTCATCTTTTTGCAAAAGCATTTTGCTCGTCTCCCAGACCAGTATATTCCAAAATTTTTCAGCCTATAAGGAAAAATACATTTTTGCATCATGATTCACACACACACACACGCACGCAGTTTTAATTTCATTTTTTAAAGTGTATAATTCAGTGATATTTATTTTACATTAATGGATTGTGCAGCCATCACCACTACTTTCAGAACATTTTCATCACTTTGAGAAGAAATCCTTATCCATCTATCTCCATCTCTATCAAACTGAAATAAAAGTTTCATGAAACAATACCTTGCCTAACTTACTATGTGGGATGAATGCTGATAATGTCTTTTCTATTCTATTCTATTCCATTTTATCCCACTCTTCCTATTACTTTAGAAAAAAATATCTTTCAGTGCCTCACTACATTGATTTCATGTCTTAATATGGAGTTGTAGCTAACAGTTTGGGTTTCCGTGGGCGAGGGCCCATGGCCCGTCTACAGCACCATTTTCTTTCCTCACAGGACACTCAGTCCACTGGCTACTACTTGATAAATGTCCAAGACTTGATATAGTTGGAGAGTGGGCTCTTCTGTTTGTTTCCCCACTGCCAAGCACCGTGCTGAGCAAGTAGTAGGCACTCAATAAATATTGGTTGACTAAATAAATGTTTGCCTTTGAATGGGAAAAATAAGCCCATACACTTTTTTTTGTTTTGTTTTGGTGAGTGTTCATGTAAGTAAACCGAAATGCAATAAAGCTGTTATATTGTGCTTTTAACCCATGACGGCCAGTAGCTGTGTAGCCTCTTCCTCAAAACTAAGGATTCGGCCCTGTGATATTCATATAATTATCTCCATGCTTCTTTTCACTTTGCCTTGCAAAGTCGGCTTGAGCCGCCCACTCACGCAGAGGCCCCTGCGAGTGAACTCCAGCAATGACATGAGCAGTGGAGCCCACAACAAACACCCGTAGCGAAAGCTTTGATTCGGGTGAGTCAGCCAACAATGACTTATCCTTACCCTCCCCTGCATCTTCTTCCCTGTGACTTTGTACCTGTCTTTGCCAGTCTCCTGCTTGAAGAGCTCATCGAACTGCAGCATCTTGTGACGAGTAATCATGAAGGCCTTCAGCCGGGGCAGCACCTGGCTCAGGAGCTGCAGGTTGTTGTAGACCTGCCCCTTGCCGTCCCGCCGCATGTAGCTGCTGGGGCCCCAGAAGATGAACACGGTGCCCTGGCTTACGTTGAGCAGGTCGTGGCGGTTGCGGAGGATCCTCTGGATGCTGGAATGCGCGATGACCCTCAGGCTGGTGCGATTGCCCACGTCGCGCCCATAGCTGCGTGTGGGGGCGTCATTCATGCGGATGACACACTCTGTCTGGTCAATCTGGGAGCCTTGCCGACTGTGCAGAAGATGCCCTGAGCTGGTCACCAGGGCACAGTCCCTGCAGTGCATTTTCAGGGGCTGAAAGGCAGGGGGAGAAGGTCACTGTCAGGGGCAAAGGGCTTAACTCACTCGGCATCACCAGCAGGTTACTTCCCTGCCTTGGGAGGAGGGCACCCATCTCTCCTCTGCTTCCCATCATGTCAGAGTATATCCTTCTGCTATTACTTTATAGACCCTGCGTACTCTTCTAAATGGGTGACAGGGAACACCTGACAAGAGCAAAAGGGAGCTAGCACTGACCTGTCAGATGCTGGACTAAGGGCTTTACTGATATTAAATAATCAAATTAACACTTCAGCCTAGCAAGGTTGCTCTCATGGTCATTTTACAGATGAAGATACTCAAGCTTAGAGATGCTAAGAAATTTGTCTGAAGTTGCCCTTTATTCCTAGCAAGTAATAAAGTTGTGCTTTCAGCTTTCAAAACTAGGTATTTTTGAATCCAAAGTTATTCCCAAGTGGAAGCAAAGATTATCCTGCAAATTGCTGTGACACTAGTTATGATGCTTTTTTTGGGGGGACAGAATCTCACTCTATCACCAGGCTGGAGTTCAGTGGCGCCATCCTGGCTCACTAGAACTTCCATTTTATGGTTTCAAGCAATTCTCCTGCCTCAGCCTCCCGAGTAGCTGGGACTACAGTAGCACACCACCACACCCGGCTAATTTTTTGTACTTTTAGAGTAGCGATGGGTTTCACCATGTTGGCCAGGATGGTCTCGATCTCTTGACCTCGTGATCTGCCCGCCTCGGCCTCCCAAAGTCCTGGCATTACAGGCATGAGCCACCGCACCTGGCCATGATGCTCTTATTGAAAGTTAAACATTGATAAAATTCTTGGATGCTGTACCAATATGTTTATCCTAAATAAACATCATCTAAGCATCATATAGGAAATGACATGCTGATTGTAACCCCTTAGAGGCCATAATTTTGAAATGACAATTAGGACTTTTTCTCGCCACGGACCCCATCCAGGAATTGCAGGGCCTAGGTCCTTCTCTCATCTGCAGTGAACACACATCCCGGCGAAGTTCTGACCAGGACATGGTGTTTACCAGAGACAATTCCAATGGCAGTGCTTGGTTCAATGCCCCAAATCAATGATTTGCTTTCAAAACATCCATGCCCTAACAAATTAAACATTCCCATGTTCATGTTTAAAGAGCAATATTTCTAGTGGCTCTCTAAAGATAGTGTCATTAGGGCTCAAAGCCAAGGCCAACAAGTGTACAAAAAAATAACAATCAAGATGTTCTGAAGGGATGTTGCATTGTTAGATTTTCCCGAGAGCTTACACCCTTCTTCTCTGTTAACTTTGAACAGGACACGCCAGCTTTCTGTGCTGTCTCCAGAAATTGCATCCAATTTAGTATGCATATATTCAGGTTTATATTTACTTTGGCAGTTTCCTGAGACATGGCTGTCTTCAGAACTACAGTGAGAGCACCTGAGGGCAGCCAGCTTCCCTCGCCATGTGGTGCCTCAAAGCATCAGCTCTGGGATGTAACAGGATGGGCCCAGCCTTGCTTCCACCATTTACTAGCTATGGGACCCTGGCAAGTCACTAACCTCCACAAGTCTCAGTTTTCTCATCTCTAACTGAGGCTGAAACCTCATTCTACTTTGGTAGAATAAAAATAATTAAGATACATACAATATTAGGTTGAGCCCTTTGAAACTACCAATATTTGGCATATAAAAAGAGCAACTGCATGTGGTTGAACCTTTAGCATAGGATTGTCACAGTGATCATTCAATAAATGATAGGTGCTATTAGGATTATTGATCAGTGTGGAGCACATTGTACAAGAAGTACTCATCAAATCAGCACTGAACACTCTGGGTCTGTAATAGATGCAGGGCTTATGAAATGGAGATTCAACCATTGCAAATTCTCATCTTTCCCCTAAGGTCTAATTACTCTTATGTGACAGGCACTGTGACAGGCAATCAGAATGCAAAAAATGGGGAAAACGGCCTTGAAAACTTACACTTTAGTGAGGGACAGGGGTCAGTAAAGGAGGACCATACAGTGTGACCCACTATGAAGAGAGGAGGCACTGCCGAAGCCTGAGTAAGGGAGCTGTTTAGAGCACAGCAAAGCTGTGGAAAGGAACAAGGTTGTAGCACAAAGGAAACCAGTGGCCAATCAGCTAATATTTACTGAGCGCTCCTTACTGACAACTGTTCTGATTTTTTATAAATATAATTGCATTAATCCTTCAAATAATACTCTAAGATACTATATTATCACTCCCATTTTACAAATGAGAATATTGAAGGAGAGAAAAACGAAACAATTTGCTCAAGATCACACTGTAAGGAGGTGGCAGTACAGAAATTAGAACCCAAGAAACCCGACTGCAGAGACAAAGGGATTAAGCATTATGCCAACACTGTGCAGTAGAACAAGCAGAATAAGCGTCATGGATATTTTCTTACCTCATTGCCTCTTTCCTCCCCGCTAGAAACACAGCGATGCTATTTTTCAGTCAGTAGTGTTGTTACCACTCTGAGGGCCCTGGGCTCAGTGGATGCAGTAAAATGACAAGAATCATCTACCAAATACCTCCATTCCTTGGAGGATCACTGGAAATAGATTCACCTAACTAGAACATTAAGTATATGATGCTGAAATGTGGTTGAGACCTAATCTTCTTCAGGAAGAGCCACATTCCAGATGTCCAGAAAGTGGTCCCTATTCCCCTCAGAAAACTACTAGAACCTGGAGTAAGGAATCCTGAATCCCTGGGCAAACCGTTGGGATGAGAGGCAATTTCAGTGGCCAAAAATGGAGGCAATTCTTAACTTTCCTTTCCGTTATTTTACCTGCACATCTCATACATAAATGATGAAGAGGGAAGCGTTCCATGATAATGTATTCAATGGTGGAGTTCCTATTATGGACCAGACACTGAACCTGGTGCTACAGATACAAGGTTAGTGCAAAACTATTTGCCATTAAAAGTAATGGCCAAAATCGGCCGGGCGCGGTGGCTCAAGCCTGTAATCCCAGCACTTTGGGAGGCTGAGGCTGGTGGATCATGAGGTCGAGAGATTGAGACCATCCTGGTCAACATGGTGAAACCCCGTCTCTACTAAAAATACAAAAAACTAGCTGGGCGTGATGGTGCGTGCCTGTAATCCCAGCTACTTAGGAGGCTGAGGCAGGAGAATTGCCTGAGCCCAGGAGGTGGAGGTTGCGGTGAGCCAAGATCGCGCCATTGCACTCCAGCCTGGATAACAAGAGTGAAACTCTGTCTCAAAAAAAAAAAAAAGTAATGGCCAAAATCACAATTATGTTTGCACCAACCTTAATAACACAATAAAAGATCATACAGTCCAGGTTGAGGGTACCCCGAGATAAACCATGACAGGACTGTGCTGTAAGAGCTATTAATGCAATTAGGCACAAGGGGCCACAGGACCAAAGATGAGGGAATATTTCAGCTTATCCAGAAGAGCCAGAGAGGTGGGAGAACAACCAGGAAAGGATTATGTAGTAGAAACCGGCAGAAGAGGCCATTTTAAAAAGGAGCAAGTATTCAACAGTGTCATAGGACAAGTAAAACCAGACTTGGGAAGTGTGCTTTGGATTTGATGACTTTGGTCAAAATAGTCTCAGCTGAATGGAAGTGACAGAGTCTGATTGTAGTTGGATTTCGGAAGTAGAGACCACAGATGACTGCATTGTTGATAGAGGGTTGATGGCCGAGCATGGCAGGACTGACTTTGACACCAAATACTTGTGGGCAGACAACGCTGATTTGTTCATTCATTCTAAAGACCTTCACTGAGGACTTAATACAGCCCCGAGGTTCTGTGTAACTCAGCACATTTGCTTAATAAGGTTACTTTGTAAGTTCATCCCAGTGGACCCTAAGGCCATGGGAAGCTGCTTTTTCTCATCACGCTCACCTAGAATTATCCTGAATTTTCCGGTTTGATCTGTAATTTTATTATAGTCATTATTACAAGGGAAAACATTCTGAAGAAAGGTCCCAGAAGCAGCTCTTTCCCCTTAATTAGTTATTCTGCTTCGATTCTCAAAACAGAGACTGGCCGGCAGGTGAACCACACATCGCCTTAGGGACCTTCCAAGGACCTGGTGCTCTCTTTTTCTTTGCTCACAGAAGGCCAGTTGAAGACCTTTTCAGAGAAGACCACGTTTCCTGCCCTTGCCATACTGATCCTCTGTGATTACTGGGCACCACTGGAACATGCCAGGTCGACCCAGTCCCAAAAAGCCACCTTCATGATTTCTGCTACCTGCCTGAGCTCTGGTATTGATTGCCTCGGACTCTGACTCCCATTCTTTGAGTTGTGCAGATGCATCAAACAATGCAAAAAAGATCGAACTCTGAATTATGCCTTAGGTGCTTTTGGTAAGATGTGCCAATAAAATGACATTAGCTGTTCTAAACATAATGTTACAATTCCAGTAGCTGAGAAGAGTATGTACTAAAGGCTGATCCATTTCCAAAGGACAAAATGATATCTGTTTCCTGTATTCAGCGGGACTAATGATATCTTAGAGGCAGAATGACAGAAAATTGGACAAATTGTGTGACCCTGTTTCTCATGATTTGGTACAGTCCTCTGAGAAAAGCATGCTCCCACACATCTCAGTACCATCGTAACCTTTAGTGTCTTACTGATATGGGTGAAAATACTAATGCCTTGGTGAGTTAAGATTCCTGATGCAGTATTTACATGTCCTTCCCTTAAGCATTCAGATGCTGGGTTGATAAATCACTAAGTGGAACATGGGGAGGTGAACTTGAAACTCTGCCCCTCAGCCTGGGAGATGACGGGCTGCTAAGGACACAGGAGGGGAGGTGGCTCCAGCAGTCTCTCTGCCAAGCAAGGCCTTCTCTTTGACTTTCTCCTCATAGTATTCCACCTCCCAGATTCTTTGGGACGTTTTCCTTAAAGCCTCATTTGGTGAGATGCTCCATCCCTTGGTAGGAAACATGAGCATCTATCTTAGCTCACTCCAAGTTTAGTAATCTCTCTT